TAACCCAACAAAGGACATTCATCACAAGTGTCCTTGTTTTCTTTATCCTTTACATGATCTTTATATAATATAGTGGTATCTCTGCGCAGATGTTGCATTTGCTTCCTGAGCATGACGCATTTCCTTTAAAAAAACAAAACCTAAAATTGGGATGGATTGAGTTGAGGGTGCTCAAGCTTTTACTGTGCAGTTAAGGCAGCCTTGGGCATCCTCTCTCATTAGATTTAGATCTATGGGGTCTGCAATTATTCTGTTCCGTTATGTTGTTTTAACAGGTCTTCTAAATTGAATTTAATTGGTATATAATGTAATCTCATTTTACCACAGGCAATAGACAAACTATCCAGTATACACTATCCATGAAAGTCTACAGTATATACTGTAAAAAACAAAGTTGTAACTGGTCAAGTCTAAAGTGATCTACAGAAAATAAACAGCATTACCAGTCTTATACTGGCAGTACACGGGCTAGACATTTCAATTGCATTAAGCATTTCCTTGCATGATAAGTTAAAGAAGAACTCCTTATCCCTTGCATTGGGGCTACACCTGCACTGCAAGGTTTAAATGCTTGTTTTCGTCTTTCGAAAACAAAAACAAAAAGTTTTACTCGCCTGAGACAGCTGGCTGCTAGCCTGTTCCCTGAAGCCTCTCTCTCCCTACACTGTATTGGACGTGATGACTCATAGGACCTTAGACCATCGGAACGTAGGGGTACAGAGGTTCCAGGAACTGGTTTAAAACAGCTAGCCGGCTCTTTTCATCCCTATGCGAAAACGAGCACTTAACCCTTGCTGTGCGGGAGCAGCCCCACTGCAAGGGTTAAGAATAATTCTTCCCAGAGTTCTCCTTTTAAGGTTTGTATATGCAAACCTAGAATGAACTGGGCAACATAGTTGGAGTTTGGGGAATAGATAGTTATAACATGAATACAAGGGTGTGCAAACAAAAGTCCCCTTCACACCTCGTTTCCTGTTTCCTATTTTATTTTTTTACTGTCTAGCATTGCAAAAGCATTTGTCAAATTAGTCTATTACAGTCTAATTTTTGCAGTAAAGCTGGCCATGAACAGTAAAACTATTTTCCTTTGGCGATTTGGTCATGGGTTGCAACTGTCAGGTTTTTGTGTCCGCACACCCAATTCCAGTAAGGCAATTTACTGGAGTTTCATACAGACCAACATGAAGTTTTGGGGACACAAGTGCCCCCTTTCTCAAGGTAACATTATTATTATACAGGATTTATATAGCACCAACAGTTTGCACAGAACAATACATAGAAAAGTGAACAAACTTTATATAACATGACCACCCAGTATGGTCACAAAGGTCCCACCACAGCAATGGAGTACCCAGATGCTGCTCCCAAGGTCACTATACATGAAAGCTCATGCTCAATGTTAGTTGCCGAGCAGTGGCACTCGGCATTTACTTGTGCCCATGGAATTTCTACCAGTGTTCTGGTAGAAATACCTCAGTAAAGTTTGGCATTTTGCTATTATGTAACACTCGCATCAAATCTAACAACTTGAGTGCCATTTGTCTGTGCAAAGCTGCAGAGTCCTGTGAAGTACGGTTTCAACTCCCTTAGAACTGGGAGACAGAGAAGAGGCCAGTGGAGCCAGTGGAGGGTCCCTTTAACCACTGCTGAAATAATGTTCACATCCTAGGTCTAAGGCACACTTCTGACTGGGGAAATCTTTCCACCAAATCAGAAAAATAAACCTCTGCTGCCATACTACAGTGAAGGAAGTAGGGAAAATTTCCAAAAGGCCCCTCAACAGTCCCTTACAAAGTCTTAGTAATGACATCACTTTACAGTAATGTTGTCTAGTTTGCTTACTACTGTATGACAGTGGCTAGCCAAAGCAGTCCCTGCATTATTGCTATGGAGAAGAGCCCTCCAAGTCCAGGTTCAGCTCAACACTAGATTTTGTGTTGATTCATGCAAAATACAGAATGGGAGCAGCAGCCAGTTCTGTGATAATTTAGGAAAAGATTTTGCCTGGTCCTTTTTATAGAGTTTAAGTCACACAAAGAAAAGTGAGCAGTCAGTGCTGGGATTCCTTATGGAAAACCCTATACAGATAGATCTATAGATATATAGTGCTCTCTCTCTCACTCACTCACTCACTCACTCACTCACTCACTCACTCACTCACTCACTCACTCACTCACTCTCTCTGTCTCTGAGAGAGATAGATATATAAAATAAAAATCCCCAAAACTGAGTATTGCAGTATGCAATGACACCTTTCTGGACTAACATAATATTTAAAAGACAAGCTTTCGAGAGTTAACCTTGCTTCTTCAGGTCAGAAGCAATACTAATCAGCATGACAGAGTTTACCACTGAAAGCAAGAGAAAGTTGTGGGGGCGAGTGGGGTGTCATAAGTGTTGGACCTGAGAGTGAGAAGTGCATCCTGATAACTAAAAGACAGAATAAATAAACATAGGATGACCAATAAACCTTAAACAGATTCAGGCCTTAAGCTGTATCTCAGGATGAACCTACACGGGAGCTCAATTAATAACCACTAGGAAAACGAATATTGCACCCCTGTAGGACATCCCTTCTCCCAGAAAGATCACTCCATCCAAAACCTCAGTATTAAAGTACTGAAAGGGAATTTTAAAAACTCTCATGAAAGGAAAACATTTGAAATTAAAATAATTATACATTTCAACACCATAAAGGAAATACTTAATGTGGATTCTGGCTTCCTTAAACACTACCAGAATTTTTTATGAATACACAGAGCATCATAATGACCTGTGTATGTCGTATATCTCTCATCTGTTTAGGGTCTATTGGTCATTTTATGCTTATTTGTTCTAGTTTTTGGTTATCAGGATGCACTTCTCACTCCCAGGTCCAACATGTATGACTCCCCACTCACCCCCCAACAACCTTCTTTTGCTTTAAATGGTAAACTCTGTCATGTTGATTAGTATTGCTTCTGACTTGAAGAAAGGTTAACTCTGGAAAGTTGTCTCAAATATTATGTTAGTCTAATAAGAAAGGTATCATTGCATCATGCAATACTGTTTTTGTTTCTTTTACATCGTGTGTGTGTGTATATATAATCAAAGCTAAAGTGAACTAGAAGATAATTGAGAAATGCATTATGTACTGCGTTCTCAAAGTATTTCTGGGTAGTAAAGGGTTTATTTTATTTTTTAATAATTGTTTGCTTTTGTCCGTACTGTGGCAGGTGGCACCATTTATTATGTTGCAGTATGGCTTTTTTCATTAAAGCAGAGCAGGATGTAGTAAGATCAAGGACAGTGCCAATACATAAGAGAGATAGCTGTTGTTGTTTTCCTATTTTACCTACTCAAGAGATTTCCGGTCTCAGTACATGTTCAGTCAACATTCTATCCATCTATCAAGGTAACCCAACAAAGGACATTCATCACAAGTGTCCTTGTTTTCTTTATCCTTTACATGATCTTTATATAATATAGTGGTATCTCTGCGCAGATGTTGCATTTGCTTCCTGAGCATGACGCATTTCCTTTAAAAAAACAAAACCTAAAATTGGGATGGATTGAGTTGAGGGTGCTCAAGCTTTTACTGTGCAGTTAAGGCAGCCTTGGGCATCCTCTCTCATTAGATTTAGATCTATGGGGTCTGCAATTATTCTGTTCCGTTATGTTGTTTTAACAGGTCTTCTAAATTGAATTTAATTGGTATATAATGTAATCTCATTTTACCACAGGCAATAGACAAACTATCCAGTATACACTATCCATGAAAGTCTACAGTATATACTGTAAAAAACAAAGTTGTAACTGGTCAAGTCTAAAGTGATCTACAGAAAATAAACAGCATTACCAGTCTTATACTGGCAGTACACGGGCTAGACATTTCAATTGCATTAAGCATTTCCTTGCATGATAAGTTAAAGAAGAACTCCTTATCCCTTGCATTGGGGCTACACCTGCACTGCAAGGTTTAAATGCTTGTTTTCGTCTTTCGAAAACAAAAACAAAAAGTTTTACTCGCCTGAGACAGCTGGCTGCTAGCCTGTTCCCTGAAGCCTCTCTCTCCCTACACTGTATTGGACGTGATGACTCATAGGACCTTAGACCATCGGAACGTAGGGGTACAGAGGTTCCAGGAACTGGTTTAAAACAGCTAGCCGGCTCTTTTCATCCCTATGCGAAAACGAGCACTTAACCCTTGCTGTGCGGGAGCAGCCCCACTGCAAGGGTTAAGAATAATTCTTCCCAGAGTTCTCCTTTTAAGGTTTGTATATGCAAACCTAGAATGAACTGGGCAACATAGTTGGAGTTTGGGGAATAGATAGTTATAACATGAATACAAGGGTGTGCAAACAAAAGTCCCCTTCACACCTCGTTTCCTGTTTCCTATTTTATTTTTTTACTGTCTAGCATTGCAAAAGCATTTGTCAAATTAGTCTATTACAGTCTAATTTTTGCAGTAAAGCTGGCCATGAACAGTAAAACTATTTTCCTTTGGCGATTTGGTCATGGGTTGCAACTGTCAGGTTTTTGTGTCCGCACACCCAATTCCAGTAAGGCAATTTACTGGAGTTTCATACAGACCAACATGAAGTTTTGGGGACACAAGTGCCCCCTTTCTCAAGGTAACATTATTATTATACAGGATTTATATAGCACCAACAGTTTGCACAGAACAATACATAGAAAAGTGAACAAACTTTATATAACATGACCACCCAGTATGGTCACAAAGGTCCCACCACAGCAATGGAGTACCCAGATGCTGCTCCCAAGGTCACTATACATGAAAGCTCATGCTCAATGTTAGTTGCCGAGCAGTGGCACTCGGCATTTACTTGTGCCCATGGAATTTCTACCAGTGTTCTGGTAGAAATACCTCAGTAAAGTTTGGCATTTTGCTATTATGTAACACTCGCATCTTTGGTCGCTATTTACCTAAATGTCCAATCATATTGGCCAGTTTTATGCATTATTTATTTTCGTAATTTGTTTGTTCTGATTTATTGCAGATTGTAGTGAACTGAAAACAATAAGAGGAGAACTTAAACGTCGTATTGAGGTTCAGTCTGCCAAGCTCTTGCGCCAGTTGAAGCAGAAGGACAGACTACAGCACAAACAGCAAAAAAACTCTGACATTGTTACTGCGAGTCTGCAGGCAGTTTCCCAGAAACGTTGTAAGTAGCCATTGGATTGCTAAAATTTCCAAAAGAGTTTAGCTACTAGAGAAAAAAAATATGTATGAGTTACTTAAAGTTCTCTGTGTCGCTGAAAGGTTCCTGCTATTCAGGGCTACATCAGCAAGATTTTCCCTTCTTTCTTTTGTTTTCTTTCTTTCTTTTGTTTTCTTTCTTTCTTTTGTTTTTTCTTTCTTTCTTTCTTTCTTTCTTTCTGTGAGGGAAAACAGCAACAGGGACCTAAACGGTGCTAAAACACTGACAGAGGTTCTAGGCTTTTCCTAAACCAAAGGTGGACAAATTAATTTGGAATAAAGGAGCCATCCTGTCCAATCCAGGAGCCAGCAGAATTTTGTAAGAGTCAGCTCCAATGACAGCGACCAGAGAAAAACTGCAAAAGGTAGGTGCCAGGTGTAATTTTTAAGGAGCATTGGCTACTTGGCTCCTGGGATTTGGCCAGCCCTGCCCTACAAAGTATTCTTCTTCTTCTTCTTATTATTATTATTATTATTATTATTATTGTTGTTATTTCTGTCTGTGTTGCTGTTGAAGATTTTCTCTCCCACTTCATGTCAAGTGAAACTATTGTCACTGGAAAGTGAGAGGAAATCTCTTGCATTTCTAACAAAGCCCCAGATAGCAGTAAAAATCTAACAGGCTTTTTGAATTCTATACACTATAAAGTTGCATATTTAAAAAGATTTAGAACAACTTTTCAAAGGACACTAACATGTCAAACCTTTCATGAGATGTTGGAGATTGGGTTTAGATCTACTTTAAGGGTTTAGTTTAGGGTTAGGCTAAAGGTTGAGGTAGGGGAAAGGTTAGTGCTATGTGTGCTTTTGTGTAGGGGAAGGTTTTAAGGGGAGGGACATGTTGTACACATGTATTAACAGCATCAATCTCCTGTCTCGGATCATTTCCAGATTAGGGGAAACCGCTTTCATTGCTTTAAGTATAAGGGAAGGATACAGGTGGTGATACAACTTACAGCCTTTAGTGTTAAAGTATTGATGGAGATTGTGAAAAAAAGCTTTCATGTAATAAAAGGTGTCTTGAGGTGAAACCATTTCTGTACTGTTATTGCTTTATAATTGCTTTTTCATTATAATGTGCAGTATGCTATTGCTTTACTTGAATGCTCTAAGCTAACCTACTTGTATTTTGTTTCTACATGCAGCATGGCAGTATTAGGTACAGTAATTTAGATAGCATGATAACTGCATCAGTGTGTTTGTGAATATTTTGTAGCCATCACATTAGAGATATCCGTTCATTTTTCTTTTTTTTTTCTTTTATTAACTGGCTTAAAACGTTATGCATTGGTATAACCTGTCGAACAACAAAGGACATAAAGACGGGTCTGGATTTATACTACCTGCCCTCCCCCCCCCCCCCATCCCCTTCATTCACTTTGTTTTTTTTTCTTTTCC